CAGAGTTTTACAGGTAAATGTATGCTGTTTATACCCAAGGGTTTGACAGGTAAGTGTATGCTGTTTATACCCAAGGGTTTGACAGGTAATTGTATGCTGTTTGTACCCCGAGTTTTACAGGTAAATGTATGCTGTTTATACCCAGAGTTTTACAGGTAATTGTATGCTGTTTATACCCAGAGTTTGACAGGTAATTGTACGCTGTTTGTACCCAGAGTTTTACAGGTAATTATATGCTGTTTATACCCAGAGTTTGACAGGTAATTGTAAGGGCTGTAACGATACACCGCGGTGCACCAAAAACTGCGCTAAATTGCTTCGTTTCGGTTTACGGTATTTTTTCCTGTGTTTCGGTTTTTAGTATTACCCGATTTCTGGAATTTAACCATACATGTGTAACGTAAACATTTATTCTCCAGCGTCACCTACGATGATAATAAAGGTTTTGAAGGGTTTGACATGGTTGATGTGGAAATACTTCGGTGTAACATAATATGTAACTTTCCAATGGACGGCTTTGTGCCCTACGCAAACAAGTAAATATCGGCGGACCGAGGCGCACATGTCGTCTGCATCGATACGTTTTGAGCCGATTGATTTCTTCAAACTATATATCGATGATTTAATCATAAACTAGACCGTAGCTAATATATATCTATACTATATTCCGACTGCGACAGTAAATATATTGAATGACGACTTGAAACCTGTAGCAAATCACATGCAAGGGGTGATGAAATACCTGATCTTTTTACCTGATAATCTCCGTGTAAATGTACAGTGTCTTATGTCATAAATGAAGTTTATAATCTCTGGTATCATTTGCCAATCACATTTGCTGACAATTTAAAAAAAAAAGAAGATCTTTCTGGTGCTTAAATCCGATTAATTAAAAGTTTCACCCTTGCTTACCTTTATTACCACCTGTACAGGTAAACACTGAAGCAACTTTAGAAATGAAAACGTTAATGTAAACTAGAGACAACAACAAACAATTTTCCTGTAACTTTTACTCACATATAACATATATTTTTCAAGTTATGCACATTTGAAAAATCAAGAAAATTAATTTATATTTCAATAATTAATTCAGCAGTGGTGTCCCTTTACATAGAAATCAATGTAGCAGCATAAGGGGTTAAAAAAAACTCCCGCTTCCTTTCGCTCGCCTGTTTGGCAGCATTTTGGATTCCTGCTAAATGTCCCTGATGGAAAATCACTCTCCACTTGCCGCATATGTTTCGTAGATTTAAGTTACAAGTCTGGGAACCATAAACATGGTGACGCATTTGAAGAGGAAGCATAACATTTCGTCATCCTGTATCGTATCAAAATGTATCGTATCGTGGGTAGATATCGTGATATGTATCGTATCGTGGCATAGGTGTATCGTTACAGCCCTAGTAATTGTACGCTGTTTATACCCAAGGGTTTGACAGGTAATTGTACACTGTTTATACAGGGCTCACCCTGGACCTAAAAAATCAGTAGCCAAAAAAGTAGCCATGTTTGAATTTCAGTAGCCATTTTTTTTTAAACAGTGGCCATACTTTCTCGGCCTCCAGCCGTTACGGATAGGCCCTTCATTAAAATCAATGAATATTTAATATTTTCTGAAGTGCAATACTATTCAATATGATGTTAAATTAAGGAGTATTTTTTTTGTTATACATCATGTTTATAATTTAATTCATAATGTGTTGTTTTTTTAATCCTTTCAGATTATATGACTGTAATTTTAAGAAAATATGATTTAAATTAAAATGCTGAAAATTTCCACCAGAACTTTTTTTCATTTTTTTTCAAAAGAGAGACTTTTTCAGACTTTATCTCATTTCTTGACACAGGAATTGTGAAAAAATCTAGGTTGAAAGTTTAAATTTTAAGATATTATTCGCCTTTAATTCTGTGCCTTCAATCAAAAAATAAAACTCATAAAATCGAAATAAAAAAGTAGACTTAGTGATGCAATATTGATAATTATTTTTCCGTAATTCATGTTTTATGTAAAAAAAAAAAAAAAAATAAAAAAAAATCACACATTTCAAATGTAAATGGCAGTAGAACACATTTGAAAGGAAAAGGACGAATATATAACGGTATTGACCAACCCTTCGAAATAAATCGGGAGCACATCACTTCGCACAACTTGGCTATTCCCGTGCACGTGTCGTCGCTTGGCACCTAATACAAGCGACCGTCGAAGTAATTCTGAACGGTTTGCTGTTCTAAAAACCGCATAACTGCGATGCTAAATAACTTTCTCGGTCACTTGAAATTCTAAAATGTCTAACCACGAAGGTACACTGTCAGATACGATATAGGGCCTATCGTTTGAAGTGATCAGAAAGGCCGAAAATCGGCACTTCAACATGGTGTTTCAAGGCGATACTTATACTTTCTAATCAAGCATATCGGACGTATTTATGCTTTCTACGGTACTGGAAAAGGAAAATGAAAACCATGTACACTAATTTAAATATACTGAACCTATAAATTTGTTGGATGCGGTGTTTGAACGAGTTTATCAGATCGACTTACGGCGCCGTCAAATGTACGTGTGCAAGACCACCTACGGTGCACGTGTGATCGCTTATCAGACTGTTTTCCCAACGTCAATTGGTCATCCAATTAACTTGACCCCACTGTCCATTATTGTACAAGAATTATAACACCTTTTGCCACCTGAAGCTTGATAATTGACTTTACAACTTAGACAAAGGCATTAATTAACTCGCAGTCGTACAGCGCACGCTGATCTGTTACGGCCCTGATTATGTTTACGCAATCAGTGTCAGCCACAATACACACGTGAGCTCGAGTAGATGGATCGTTTTCTGGGACAAAGATACAGAGTTTCCCCATTTTTAAAAACTTAGTCAATTTAGTAGCCACATCGAATTTTTAATAGCCAATAAAAGTAGTCAATGGCTACTTTGGCCACTGACAGCGTGAGCCCTGATACCGAAGGGTTTGACATTCAATTGTACACTGTTTATACCCAAGAGTTTGACAGGTAATTGTATGCTGTTTATACCCAAGGAGATCCATACTCCTTACCAAGCAAAGTATGAATTAAGATGGGTGTTTCCTTGTACATGAAAGCCAAAAGAGAGAGTCACTTGGGAACATCTCAAAACCAGTCTTAAAATTTGAACTTGACTATCTTTTTTATCTTTTTATTGAAAGCTTAGAGCTGTCGTATCTAAGGAAGTGTTGACATTTTAGAATGTACTTGCTTGGTAACATGTAGGTGGTCTCCCTGGATACAAAAAGCCCATTACCCGTCAAACCTGTTTTGGAAATTTTCAAAGTTTGGATTATGGCAAATTAGATAGTTTAATACATATAAATGCTCAACATAAATTAAAAAGAGAAAACCCCCTGAAAACTCCAATTTGTATGGACCAGATCAGTGAGATCACTATTTTGAGGAATACATGGTATTCAACAAACCTAAACATTGTCCAACATCCTTATATTTTGATCAGGTGGGACAGCAGACAGCACAAGCACTGCAAAAATTGCGGATAGGAGATGATAGAAGTAAAAAGAAGTTTCATAAAGATGACAACATTTCATAAGATATAAAAAATTGCTCAATGATGAAATAATATAGCCGTCTGTATTAAGAAAGGAAGTAAAGTAAAGAAGCTGTGTTACCCTCTTCAGACTCGTCAGTTTGGTTTAAATTAGACACAGTCTGAAAATTATGGCAAATTTGATATGGCTGGATATATAATATACATAATGGCATCTTTAGCATAATTTGATTCCTCAAAACTAATATCAATTTTCAATGTGACGTTGTATAGCTATAACTGTTCTCAATCTCGCCTCTTCCTCCCATGGTGGCTTCTACAGTTGTTGAACTTGTGATGCCACAGTCAACAAGGTCCCAATCTCCCCGAGTTACGGTTATGTTATCAGTAGTAGAAATCGAAGGACAGGTGAAAATCGTACACTTTAAATGTCAAAATCTAGCCATGATGTTACTCAGTAGAATACTTTTCTATAAGTTCTATGGATCCTACTTTAGGCATGTTGTTTCATTGAGGGATACAGACATTTTCGTTTCTCTGTTGTTTTGGAACCGAGATGTTTCAGTGCCTGTATAAGACCTTTTGGTATGCAAGGTTACTTCCCAAAAGTTGTTTATCAGGTCCAGTACACTCTGCCGATTGAGCTATATAGCTGTAGAGACCTATAATAGCTCTATTGACCTATCTGAAATAGGTCTTTAGAGCTATTTTCATGTGATTTTCTTTTTTAAGGAAAACGAAACAAAGTCGCTTATAAAATTAGATTTTATCATTAGGTTGATAACAAAAGACATCAAATATAAGTATTGTTTTTAAAAAATAATGATGTAAAAATATCGAAAATTTTACATTTATGTAGTCAACCTTACCATCAACCTTATTGTTTAATACGACTTTGCTTTAATTTAATGAGATTTGAAATCTGAGAAAATATAGCTCAATACAGCTATAATTTATAGGTGAATATAGCTATATAGGTCTTTATAGCTATATAGCCCAATTGGCAGAGTGTACTGGACCTGTTTATTTCATTAGATTTCTAGCAGTTTTACTTACGTATCAACTTTGCATCACTCTCAGCACACACTCATAAATTAACCCACATGGAGGCATGTCTTTTAATGACCTTAGTTGTTAACAGGATGCTAACTCCTACAAACCAAATCATTAGCCCTAGCTTGTCCACGAGTCTAACAGTACTTTGGTAAAGGATCCTCCCCCTCTAGCTCAAATTAGCCAACATATTGTCCGATGAGGCTAGTACTAGTCATTAGGTGTGAAAGAATAGCATAGAAGTAAATTTGTTGTGCAACCCAATGGTATATATACATCATTGATACTGCCGACAGTTTGAGCACGGGTGCGAAATGGTGTTTTGAAACAGTCTGACTCACAGCTGATAAACAACACTGGCAGGATTGGTGTGAACTCTGAAATCAAATTGCTGTTTATATTTACCTGATAAGTCAAAGTGATTGTTGTTCTGTGGTTCCATGTTGTGACTTTGATCTGAATACCCCTAATTAAGACGATGCAATAAATAAAAATTCAGCACCCGATGATTTGGAGAAACAATGAAACTTCGTTAGCTACTTCCTCCTTCATCGCCCGCCATTTGCCTTTTGGGAAAGTCTTATCTAGATTCTAGCCTCGAACCTAAAATAGAATAGCGCATAACATCATATTTCAAATATAAAAATAACTCTTCAATGTCCAATTTAATAAAATTCAGTATAAAAGTAATGAAACAATCTTTTAAATCCATTTATTTGATCATAAATTGAATTATTTAAATGATAATCTACTAATTTTTCTTTCGGAATACATTGCATATTTTCGTTTAAAGTTGCTAATATACAGAAACGTTCCGAACAGAAATTAAAAATGGCAGACGAAAAGAACAGGAGAAAATGAAGACTGGTATTTAATGACACGCCTCCTTGTGATCCACAAAGTAAAGTAAGCCTACTTGTGATGCGTATTTCCTAACTCGTTGACCAAAACTATTTCTGATTATAAATCGACGTTCAAAAGAGCCTTCTGATCCGAATTGGACTTATAAATAACGACAACAGAAATGTCCTGCAGTGATTTGGTTCAGTGTCAATCAGGGACAGGGCACAGGTGTTGCCTCTGTAATCCAACAGTTTATATAAGCACGGTAACGGACAAAGGTCGTTGGGTTGATGGATAATTTCGAGAGCAATTCTATCAAATTTATTATTGTTTAAGAGCCCAAATATCTGTAGCTTGCATTATGACTCCTGATAGTGATAGTATTGAAATGGAATTACAGACGACTCGCCCCAAAACCGTTACTGTCAACAAACTATTTACACCATTTTTTTGGTCATATTGTCCAAAATTAAAGTTGCCCCAAAATGACAACCATATCGCTCCAAATGCTTTACCAATCCTATAACATTTCACCTCAATTTAAATGGACAAGTAATATAACTTTAACTGAAAATTTAACACCAATTCCAAATATCCTCAATAAAAATTAAAGAGCTTGCCTACAAAGCACTTGTCAGACCATTGGTTGAGTACTCGAGCTCGGTATGGGACCCCTTCACCCAAATAAACATCAGCAAACTTGAATCGGTCCAAAGGAGAGCAGCCAGATTTATTATGAACAGCCACAGAAACCGTTCAAGCGTTTCATCCATGATCCAACGCCTAGGCTGGTTTTCACTCCAAACAAGAAGACGTCACTCAAGACTCCATATGATGTTCAAGATTGACAAACAACAAATACCCATCAAAAAGGAAAACCGAATCGAAACACCAATGAGGAGGTCCAGAAAACAACACGATCGGTCCTACCAAATTCAAGCATGTAAAATAGACCCAAGAAAAAATTCATTCTTCCCTCGAACAATAAAAGACTGGACAAGCTTGACTCAAAAACTGTGAACTCGACAAACTTGACTCAAAAACTGTGAACTCGACAAACTTGGAAACCTTTAAGAAAACTCTCAACGAATTGGAACTAAAAAAGCTTAAACTTCTAACAGACCCCGAACTCACAAGTCTTAAGGCTGGTGGGTCGAATCAACCAGCTTTAAACGTCTGACACTACATCAGTGTTTTTTACTTTTTAACTTTTACAATCTAAACTTTTTAATTGTGTGTTCACCTGCGCATTGTGTATCATAAACATTGCATAATCTTCGATAAGACGAAGGAGGCAATTATATGGAAGAAGAAGAAGAACAAATCTTAAACCCCAGCACTAAACGGAAACCCTTATTAACCCTAAATCTAAACCTGACCTTAAAACAATCCCCTAGTGCTAGTTTGGGAGCTTAAGGGTGACATTGTTGAACTGACAAGGCGTAGAGCAGCGACATCTGTCATACATGTGTAGCAGGAGATGAAAAATGCACAGGAAGTTTGGGATTCAACTGTAATACACAGATGTACAAGATACTATTGTACTTCACTTTTGAAAAACATGCCTGCATCTTGATTAGTCTGCCTCCTTTATCTCGGAATATTTTGCCTAGATTGTATCTGACTTGTTTGTCTTGTTTTTTTCTTTCATATACACATCAATGAATGACACATGCTGTATTGTAATTATCAAATATGGTTTTATGTATGCTTATCTGTTCAAAGTAACAAGCTGCAGTACATAGCTCAAATAAATCACTGGTGCCACCAGGTATTGTCAATGCCTGTGGCAATTACAACCAGGTGGGAGTAGTTTGGTAATGGTGCGATGTCATCTGATCTTCAACTTTTTCTTGTCTGTTTAGTTTCTCTACAAACAGAACTATTATGTGATGTACCTTACAACTTCTGAACAATTAAGTCACCACATATTGTATCAAGGCCCAGGGATAGTCCAGGAGCACAGTGGGCCATGTTGGGTAGCTCAAAACATAAATTGACCCTTCCTATTTTTCAAGTTCTTTTGTTTTTTGTGTAATGGTTCCGTTAATCTATTATATGGACTGGAAAAAAAATGCCCTCAGCTCCTGGATTTAACCTCGAAAGGAAATTCTGTAGTATGTATTGGGGCTGTATAATTTAAAGGTCCAATTACGAATAGAAAATGATCTGGGAAATCCAAATTGTATGAAATTTCTACTTTTAGTAAAATGTTGATGCACATTAATTCTTCTCTTTGTAGGGAATGAACTCTATAATCTTTATAAAATCAGATTTGCAGTGGATTTGATGAGAAACAATAAACATTCCAATATTGACTGTTTTACAACAAATCTAAATCTGGTTTAGATATCAGATTAGTCTGATATTTTTTGAGGAAAATATAAAAATTCAAATATATTTCAGGCAAGCCATAAACATGGGACTAATACATCAATGAGATGTTGGAAATAGCTGTGATCCTGGGAGCAGGCTTTGCCCTGTGTTCCATCACTCTTCTGTTTGGTTGCTTGTGTCATCTGTTCAAGCGATCAGCCCCATTCTCAGTAAGTGTTTTAAAGGACTGAAAATGGCTATTGGCACCATACAAATAATTTTTGATTTGTAGATGTATCAGAAAACTTAAAATGACTAACTTGATAAAGGTTGTACTGTTTTAAAAATGGTTCAAAAGATCACTTATCTATTGTCAATGCTTCCAAATAAGATCAAAATGGTCAGCACATGAACAGTATTAACTAAAATAAAAAAATGCCAGCTAAATATAATTAGAATTTTTCTTGCTATATTTTTCCAGTCCTTCGAGAATGATGAAGAGGCTGGTCATGACTATTCTATGTCACCAACCAATGAGTCTGTTAACTCCTCCATTGTTTCCAATGTGACCTTTGAACCTTTGCCTGACATTCTTGCCAAAACTGTAGCTGCGACAGCACTCAGGCCACGTATAACTTCAGTGGACAAGGAGTGGCAGAAGGAGGCAGCACGCCAATTAAGTAAACAAAACATTATTACCACGATCATGTGTAATGTCTAATAAAATTGGCGTTTACTTAAGTTTGTACTTGGCTGTAAAGTCACTACATTGTGCTTGATAACACTGTCCTTGTTTGCGATACATATCTACAAACTCAGATACCTTAATACAGAGATATGATGCATCTGTACATTGGTATAACAAAAGCCAGGTTTCTATGAGTTTGCTATGGTAAACATGTTTCATTGTATAGGGTAAAATGATGACTGTTTATGGTTTGTAAATAATAATCTTATATAATTAACACTACATACATTTTGTCTGCATTATCTGTTTTTAGACATATTGAGTAAATGACTACACATGATGGAATTATTATTATATTCTGCAGCTGTTTACAAGCCATTCCAGAGAATTCAGCTGACATTCATCAAAGAGCTTGGACTTGGTTGGTTTGGCCAGGTATGTTTTTGTATTGATAGATGTTACTGTACGAAAAAAATGTGTTTTGTTGTAGCTACATAGTGACATGAACTACTTTTTCAGTCCTTGTGATCTGTATATTTAGGCTACTGTTGTGTATCCAGGACTAAGTACTAAAGTTACATTCAGGAGACACAACTTCACCAAGGGAAACACTTTTGCATATTGATTTTCTCTTCCAGGTTTTAGTTGGTGATGCAGAAAGAATTTTGGCTGGTTCCAAAAGAAGTCGAGTGATAGTAAAATTATTGAAAGACGATGCAGCTGCGTCAGATAGACAACTCTTTCTGGAGGAGATGGTACCATTTAGGTAGACTCCATCATTTATTGTAAACAAAGCATTTTCTAAATCTTCTTCACATGTACATACCAGTTCATGTAATAATATATCTGTGATTTCTATAAATAAATTACCAATGTCCAAGCTAACAACAAACCTGTCAACAAAATAGTCTTGGTAATAAGTTTTTTTATTATTTTTATTAATGTAAGTGAATGAATGAATTTTCACCAATGTATTTTTGCTTGAAATCCTGCATAGCAACCTAATAAAATAAACGACTTGTTATTAATTTTTCTGCTTTTAAACCTACACTTCATGTGATATACCTGCAACAATGCTGTTAATAGCTTGTTTCTAAGAATTGTAGTAGCCATTCGTTCAGAGCTTTTAAGACAACTGTATGCACATAATTCTTCTTTTCCTCCAACAGAGAATTGGATCACAATAATGTAGTCAGCCTCCTAGGTCAATGTACAGAGACATACCCCTTCATTGTCATCTTGGAGCATGCTCCACATGTAAGTCTGCTTTTGATGGCCAGAGGTTTTACACAGGGCACCTGTACTAGTGTTTATGACAGAACCTGTATACTAATGTTTATCATAAAACTACTGTGTGATGCTTTAAATATGGACCTCCGATTATTGTACTGTCGCCCTATCAAACCGATCTACCTGGTCATTGGTAGTTCTCTAGCTCAGTCGCACTACAGTCATAGCCAAATGAAATTCAGGGGAGGTCACTGTTAGTATGTAAAGCTACAGCAGAATTCTCCAGAGTTTTGTCTTCAGTGGTACAGGGATCCATAAGACCTTTATATATTTTTTTCTTTCCAAGGGTGACTTGAAGAGCTATCTTAAACGTCATCGTCATGAGGAGGATGACCTAGTGAAGAGAGGCGTGTTACTACAGTTTATGGTAGACATGGCAGCTGGTCTATCATGTCTTCATCAGTATGGATATATCCACCAGTAAGCTTTGATTGTTAATACTTTTATAGATTATGAGAGTTTTCATCCCATTTAGCATGAAATGTCATTGAATAGAAAGGTTCCAAAATTGTCTAAATGAAGGATGTGAATCTCCTCAGGAGCAAAGCCTTTTGCTTGTGAAGTGGAGTATGTTTTCCTACTTCAAGACATCCAAGAAATAAGTTGACTTTCTTGAGTAAATTAATACAATTTTGCACTATATCAAAAATTCTTCACCTTCTTAAAATTCCATTTGAAACTGCCATTGTTGAAATGTTGTGGTTTAAATATATAAAAATCAGAATAATTTTCTCAGCATCCTAGTTTACTTCTAGTGATCCACATAAAATAAACATGCGTATCTCTTAAAGTTTAACTGGTGATTTCACCAATATGAACCTTGGACAGATAATTAGTTGCCAGTTGCACTATCTGCCTTTCTGATTTACATTCACTTCATCATTATGTCACTCTGTAGTGCTGTGTTTCAAAAAATTAAAAATAAATTGAATTTGTTTTCCAGTGACTTCTCATGTCGTAACTGCCTGGTGATGGCAAATCTTAAAGTGAAAGTAGGAGACTACGGAATTTCTGAAGACCAACACAGGGTAGGTAGGATCTGGTTTGAGAAAAGGAAAAGTGAGAAATACAGATTCAGGTGACCGATTTTGATTGCCGTTTGTCAGTTGTTGTACTCGTTAGTAAATAATCATATTTTCTATTTCTCCTTAGATACTGTCAGATTTATATGAAACTTAACTGAATTTTTGACATAAAGGTTTTTCTGATAATTTTTGGATTAACACCATGCATACTTTTTGTTTCTGAATGAAAAGATCTGAACAATTTCAAAAGGCGTTATACGTCTAAATGGTGTATTGATAATTGAACAGGAAGTTTATTACAACACTGGCCGACCCTTAACTGGTTTATTGATGTTTTGACAGGAGGATTACTACGACACTGGTCGAGATCTGCTGCCTGTACGTTGGATGGCCCCGGAGACTCTCACTCTGAATCAGAACATATGGCAGGTGTCCGAGTTCACCAAGCTCGCAAACATCTGGTCGTATGGAGTAGCCATTTGGGAGGTGATACAGATGGCTAAACTTCCATACAGCTCTCTAAAGGATGAGGAGGTTCTCCAACAGGTGGTTATCGACGGTATACTCAAACTTACCACAACTTCATCACAGGGACAGACCAAGCAGAGGCTGTAAGTCAGATGTACAGAAAAAACTACACACTTATGTCTTTGGTTCAGGCAGAAACTCACACAAAGAATCTTTCATTTTATCAAATGATGTACAAATTCAGATAAAAAAAACTTGCAAACAAGAATGCTTAAAATATGCTGTGTTGACCAGTCAGCTTGACACAACATTAGTAGATTTTGTTTGTGAATCAAACTAGATGCTGTTGCAATCTCATCAATTCTATACAGATGTCTTTCATTCTCCTGTTTTTTCTGTCCATTTTCTTATAGAAATGAAGTGATGCAGTTTTGCTGGATAGTGCCAGAAGAGAGACCTACAATGGAGGAAGTTAGTGCCTTGATGTCCCAGATATTGCTTGACCGGGAAAAAGAATTGCATGCAGAGTTTGAATCCAAATGGGAATGTGCCTCACCAAATGATGCTGGTGCTGCTGTTTCAAACGAATCTGTAGAAAGTAATCAAGTTTCTGCTAAAGCAAAAGACAGAGATGATAATTTGGAACAGGACAACAGTTTTGTGAATATTGAAAATACTGCTGATAATGACAGTTTTAAAATGCAGAAAACTCTAGGAACTGATTTGAACTTTACAGAAAATGAACCATCAATCATCATTGCAGATGAAGATGTCAATGGTGATCAGTCAGTGAAAGTTGCTACATCTGATCCTCAATCTTTTCAAACAGAAGAATATGCGGACAAAGTGATAGTGACAATGATTGAGAAAGGATCAGCTGCCTCTGGTTCCTCGCTCCAGTTGACAAGTACCCCTGTTTCTAGAAATGTGTCGTCAGAGTATGTCACAGCAGCAAGTATCAATCAGGGCAGTGAATTCTTTTCAGCTGACGTGTCCCTAGAGAACATAAGACCAGGAGACTTGCCTGGACTTGTCACTCCCACCAAGGGAAAGGTGAACATGTTCCAGCCAAGCCGACAGGAAACCATGATGAATGCTGAGATAACTGATGATGAGGAAGATACCACAAGCTGTACAAGTGCTAACAGTGTAGAATTTGTTGAACTTAATGGATCTGATGATGAAAAACAGGACAGAGCAGGAGCAGTTGATGGGAGTGAGGCTGATAAGTTACGTATGCTGAAGGAGAGCATTGAGGATGCCTTCAGTATGAAATCTAGTATTACATCAGAGCACAGTGAAAGTGCTAAGGATGGTGGAGATGGTTCTCCTCGAGATGAGTATGACATAGCAAGAGAGATTTACATATCTAAGGGCACCACTATACCGCCTACAGAACACACTTCATCCAGAAATCTGACAACCATTCCTGAGGATGCTATTCCCATGGATTCGCCCTCAAACAGTGGCCTAAAGTTTGTTGACACCGGTGATGAGTCTTTTTTCTCCAACGGAGTGCAGGACACTTTTGAATGGGACGATTATATTGGGGACGAATTGCAATTGGTCGGTAAGGTAAAAGATGCTGCTGACTCCCCTCGCCAGACTATGGAGTTTACAGACTGGACTCTAGAACAGGACTCCAGCCAGGAGTCTCAGCATTCCAAAGCAGATGGGGATAAAAAGACAGGAAATTCCTCATCCAGCAGTAGTGTCAGTACGCCATACTCCTCGTCAGACTCGGAGGTAAAACGAGGCAAATTTGGTCGTGTATCATCAAGCTCCGAATATGTACACAATATACTGACTAACAGGGTATCTGCTACTCGTAATATTACTAATAGTAGGAGTGTATCCACCAAAAACTCATCATTCTATGCTCTATCTCATACCATAGACATAGACTCCTCTGAGCATGCCTCCTCTGACTCCGAGTCCTACACTTCCAGCATGCCCTCGGATGCCCCAGCCAGCTACTTTAATGAGGAGTGGGAAATGGACTAGGGCTCCAAAATCATATATCTTACTTACTCTCTGCCAGGTATGCTCGGCTCTTTCTGTCTCCTGTCTTACCATAATGTGATAAAAATGATATTGGTCCACTTTGGATAACCCTAATTTGGATAAACATTGATTAGCACTAATTAATCTGAAATCAATTAATATTGTATGAGTCCAATTTTTTTGTATCAGTTTGTCCTGGAATATATTCCCTGATAAAGCGATACTAATTACTTATATCCTGGTTGATGAAACTTGCACCTGCAGTCACAATTGATGACTCATTTCTAATCCAAGTAAACTTTATCATATAATGCATTTAAAAAAAAAAATGATTAGTGGACTGATGTCATATTTTATAACATTTATTTATATAACCATGGTATTAAACATAATTAAGGCATTACATTTATGATATAAATCCTTTTCAAGCAGGAATAATAACAATGTTTGTAACTTTCATCCAGCTCCATGCATGACACTTGATCACATACCGATACTTTGTATGCTAGTCCCGTTACATCGTTTGGTTTCCGTCTGCTTTTGGTGGTGTTTAAGTTTTCATATGGAATGAAAAGGAATGGGTTATCGGTTAAAATGTTGTTTTTTCCTCTCGGATCTCATTTCCCCCTGCGTGCCATGACATTTTATGTCTTTTATACAAGTTATTGGAATATAAAAGTACAAAGTCAATGCATTAGTTAAATCATTTTGTAGCTATTGCTAGCTTATAGAAGGTACATTTTGTATTAGTGACTTTGTTTTGCTACTCCTATTTATCACAGATGATGCCTCATTTACGATTCCATGATTCTATGTATATACTTAGTTTTTGTACTATTTCATATCATGAATAGTTGTTTTCACATTTTCATTCTTATTTTTTCCCCCTTATAACTAGAATATCCATTAATATCTCATCCTCTCGAACAAATATTTAGACGTGTCTACAGACAGATGTGTTAGGACAGATTGGGTTTGTGGTTGTGTGTAATGGTGGTACAGGACTTATAACGTGGTGACTAGAATGTATTAACTCCAACAATAAGGCATAATACCAGTGTGATTATTAGAAGATTAAAATAATTCTAGCAATTCACTCATCATTTCAAGAAACATGTATCACTTAATCAATTTAAAGTATTGAATAACTGTAATATACTACACTAGGTGATGTGTCTACCAGTGCTAATTCACAAGAAACATGTATCACTTAATCAATTTAAAGTATTGAATAACTGTAATATACTACACTAGGTGATGTGTCTACCAGTGCTAATTTACACATTAATCGTCTACCTGTATTATATAAACAGTATATAGATATATTTAATAATCAGCTTAATTATTAGCTGACCTGGTCCGAAGGACCAAGGTGAGCTTATGCCATACCGTGGCGTCCGTCCGTCCGTACGTC